GCAGGTTCAGACCACCTGAAACATCATTTAATGAAAGTATTTCCTAACCTATTCTCTTCCTGTTTGAGGTCACGCTCTTGCACTTCGTTACTGCTGTTATTTTAGCTAGCTGGATAGTGTGTATGGCTGTTTAAGGAAAGCTAGTGGGAAAAAAAGTCCTGAACTTTCCCACCTTTCTGAGTTTATCTGGCATTAAAAACAGCAGCCAAGTATTTTCCTGATCGTTATCTTTTGTGCTCGTTACTAAATGCCTTTCTGAAATTCTGGATATCCTTTATTTATTCCTGTTTTGTCGTAATTCTTTTGATGTGTGTCCTGATGTGTTTGCGCTGAAGGTAAGCAGAAGCCTGTAGCTTAGAGAGAGGGATCTGCCTCCGAGTGAACCGACAGTCGCATTTAAAAAGTCTGGAGCTAATTTAAAGTTTGCAGACTGTTTGCTATGAACAAAATAACTCTTCGCTGCAAAGCAGAAAGCATCCAATTAAGGATTATTCAAGTAAGGCAGCATAAGTATAAAATACAGCATTTTATGTCATCTGAGTATATAAAAGAGCTTCCAAGTTAGCCAAGCTGCTCCGTAGGCACCCAGAACATTGTGATCCCGTTTCCTTTTCGTGGGACTGTGTGAAAACTCAGGAAGCTAAACCTTTCCAAAACATCTTGTTGATGAAAAGAAACTCCTACCAAGCCCCAAGAGATAACGCGGTGTTTTTTCCTGAGCTAAACTTGATCTTGGTTCTCTCTAAAGGGTAGTGGCACAGAATTTAGAGTGTGGATTGTTGAAGATGCACATTTGTAAGACTTGAATGAAGTCTCATGTAAATGAGAGTTGCATCTTGGATGTAGCTCCCTTAGTGGAAGTCAGAATTCCTAGCGCCTCAAAATTAAACTTGATCTTGGTTCTCTCTAAAGGGTAGTGGCACAGAATTTAGAGTGTGGATTGTTGAAGGTGCACATTTGTAAGACTTGAATGAAGTCTCGTGTAAATGACACGAGTTGCATCTTGGATGTGTCCTGTAGTCCCTTAAGTGGAAGTCAGAATTTCTAGCACCTCAAAATAGAGTATTAATCATGAATCTTGGTGAAGTTGCTAGCTTCAAGGGTATGAAAGGGTTTTGTATATAGTTTGTGGGGCTGGTTGGTGTGTTGGGAGACCTGTGTAACCCTCGGCCTTTACGGGAACTGAAGCGTCCCTTCCCGGCAGCCTTTCCGCCGCGTGTCCCTGTTTCGTAACACCCGTCTTCTGCGCGTTACAGAAATGTCGTGCTTAATGGAAGCTCTGGAAGACAAGCGTGTGAGGTTGCAGCCCGAATGCAAGAAACGCCTTAATGATCGTATAGAAATGTGGAGCTATGCTGCAAAGGTGAATATATTAAATGATTTCATGGTTTGGTTGTTGTTGTTTTTTAACTTGGTTTGGGGTTTTTTGCGTTGGATCTTTCTGTTGCTTTATGAAAATCCTCAACTGCAATGAAATCCTTGTCGCTGAAGTTGAGCATTTTGAGTTAGGTCCAGAAGAACTGAAATCGAGTCTCCTTTTCTGAACTTGTGTATCTTACTCTCTCGATGTCAGGACTGCCCCCTCAGCAGCGTGGAATTAAACTGTCTTTTGTGCACGCAGGGCTTGCTCTCCTGTAGAGACGGTCTGGGGCAATGGAAGAGGGTCAGCAGAACTTGCTGTTATAAAGCTGTCTCCTGAGCCACGGTTCCTTCGGATGGATGGTGGCAGGCCTGCTTGTTTGTGGTTCAGACCAAGCCTAACGGTGACAGGAAGCAGGACCAGAGACTAGACCTGATAAACGCTGAGGCTGAGCGCCGCAGGGAAAGCGCAGCTTGGCTCATTTATTTCCTTCTCGTCTCCAGGTTGCCCCAGCAGAAGGCTTTTCTGACCTTGCCATGCAAGTGATGACCTCTCCGTCCAAGAATTACATATTATCTGTGATCACGGTCGGCATCTGTGTACTCTTCCTCATCGGCCTGATGTGTGGACGCATCACCAAGCGGGTGACAAGAGAGCTCAAGGACAGGTAGAGCCTGGATTGCCTGCTGAAGAAATGCCTGCCCAGTGCCCAGTTTTGTACAGCCCTCCTCTGTATAGTCTACCCACCCCCTCTTGTGAGAGGAGAATTAAAAAAGAAAAAGAAAAAAAAAAAAGAAAGAAAAAAAATTTAGAACAGCAGCAGGTGTTGGCTCAGTTTTCCCATCCTGGATCTCATCCACAGCATCTTCATCCTATGAAACTTGGTGTGCAACATTGGCAGCCCAGCCAGCAGCTTTTGTTACCCCTCTCTTAGCAGACTCTCGTTGACCTGCCTGTAGACAAGTCTCTGTTGTACTGTTGGAACTGCCTTCACTCTCCAGATCAGACTGACGTGACCTGCAGCTCAAGCAGTTTTTAAGTAAATTTTTAAAGAAAGACATATATCTGCATTATCGACTATATGATTTAGGTAACGGTTCATGCTGAAATCTAGTCATCCTCCGTGGCTGGGTGCAATTGAGGCAGGAAATTAAAGGGTAAATTGCATCTTACACCACAGTTGGCCTTGTTTTGGACATCTTGCTCATCTTCTGTAAAGCATCTTCAGAGCATAGTCTCGGACAACCTTAGGTCACCAGTCACTGGTGTCATCTTCTAGTGAATATCCTGCTTTTGTGACTGTGGGTGGTTGGGATTTTTTTAAGTGTTTTTTGTTTTTTTTTTTGCCTGAAAAGATGACCTCCCTTTCTTCGTCTGCCACTCACAAGATAGAATAAAATACTGACCAGGATCAAATACTCACGTGAGCTGTACAACTTGTATTTCAGTAGATTAAAGACGCAGTGTAGAGGCATGTAGAGCCCCCGTCAGTAGCGTGCAGCACCACTACCAGCGGGCATTGAGGTGCCCTGATCAGTTACTTGGTCAGTTCCTTTTTTTATTAGCGAAGATACAGAAAAATTCTAACGCTCTTTATGTTTTACCCCACTGCTGCTAAGCTGTTCCCCTCCTGAATTAACTATTTATGGGCGGTATTGGCGTGCTGGCAGTACGTCGCGCTGTCGGCGATGCCGAAAGCGACTGACCGCTCGACACGCTCTATCTGTGAAATGGTTACTTGTTGGGCTAGTGCGGTGGTTTGTAACTGGCCTGTCTGGGTCTTGATGGTTTCAGTGGTGGCACCGAAGAGTGTTTTATTGATTTCTACAGCTACAGTTGATAGCGATAGCAACGTGTGTCCTGGGGTGTAGGGCACAGGTGCTGGTCCAGGAGGCCGAGCAGCAGTGGATGGGAGGATGATGGTGTGTGAGACGTAGAAACATCTGGATCTTTAAGGGAAGCAGCTTCATGTTGTTGCCATCAGGGAGACGCTTCCAGAATCTGATACTCGTGCCTGAAAGCCCAGAGAACGTGATTTAGAAAAGCTGCACCAGTAGTTGTGGCCTCTTCTTCCCATCATCTTTGTTCCTCAGGTACGAGAAGGTGTCATAAGCTGCGCTGACGACCCACATTGAGTGTGTTGGTGAATCTAGAAGGGGCTGCGTGAGAGTCCGTGTGTACAGTAGAATACCCATTATCTGTTAGATGTGCTCGCCTGCCTGCGCTGCGGTCAAAACCACATGCCTGAAACTGCCCCCACTTAGGCTGATGCTTGAACCATAACTTTTGTTTTCCTGCTTAGTGCAGTGCTGGGTAAGACCTGACACTTCCAGTGCCCGGCAGAGCTGGATTCGAGACACTTGGGAGCGTGAAGCAGCTGATTCTGATGATGCCGCGTGCACGGAACGGTGCCTACAAAATACTGTGAGCTTCTGCTACGACTGAAGCTTCTTGCAGACGTACCTTCCTCCTGCTCTGAGGAGGGACAGCAAACTGAGTGAGACAGTTTTAGACTTACTGTGCCAGCCAGCCTTTGGCAGACACGCGTGGCTTTTTTATCAAAGTATTAGGAACACAAGGCAAGCTGTAGTAAAAGTATGAGCAGTGAAGGTTCAATGGAGAGCAAGTGCATGGTAGATTGCAGCTATGTGGTTAGATAGACGAGAAATTAAACCTGAATTCTTTCTCTCACCCCTCTTCCCTGGTGCTAACGGAGCTTAACTGGCCCCTCCGTGGATGTGAAGCAGAGCAGAAGAGGAGCGACTGATCTCGTCCCTGGAGGTAGCACAAGGTGTATGACACCACGAATGTGAGTTTGGCAATTCTGAGCGTAGATTTGGCAATTCTAAGTGTAGTTCACTTGACAGGAGTGCTGAAATTACTGCCGCGGACCTGAGCGCGTTCGCAGAGCTGCCGGCAGAGGAAGCAGGATCTGTGTGCAGCCTTGCTTGCTTGGCACGAGTCCTGCTTCTTGAAGTACCTATCAGGCATAATTAAATCGCTGTCAGAGGGGGTTTTTTTTTCCTTTTTTTAAAACCGTTTTGACTTTTCGAATAGGCATTTTGTAACCTGGTTAGCTTGGAAAGCCTGATTAAATGGTTTGTTGTCTAGAAATAGCATCTTCTGCTAAATTCCAAAAGAAGCCACAGTGAAAATTGTAGGTTTGTAGCCATAGTTCTGAATGTAAACCCTGTTCAGCTCTGAAGGTGACTTTCTTTACGTTCAGCTATAAGGCTTTCTGGTGTAGTTTAGGTTTGATTTGAAGGTTGTTGGTTTGGTTTTTGCTTTTTAATTCGGCGAAGGTTGAGGTACAGGTGCCTGGAGCGTTGTGCTAGGAGACCGTGCTCTGTGGTGGTGGTAGTGGCTGGTCGGTGGTGTTTCTGGTTGTGTCAGCAGGTTCACCTGGGAGTTTGGTATCAGTGTGAGTGCTCTGGGATGGTGTTGCAGGACCGTGTCCGGAAGCCCTCTGATGCATGAATTTCTGCATGGTTGCCTTAGGTGCCCATTGTCACTGTAAGGGCTCAGACCCGCCTTTAGAGGTACAGCGGCAAAGGGAGCAGATTAGTTTTTTATCAGTTTTTATCATTGTAGTCTCTTCGTGTTTTAAAATGGGACCCTCCTGCCCCTGCCAACGATGAAATTTGCTTTTTTCTTGACTGGAATTCCACCAGTCCCAGTCTTGAAACATCCTCCTCCTTTTCACCTCTACTTAAAAATCTGGAGGTCTCAAAAGCCCAGAAGCCCATGCAAGTACTCCTCCAAAAATAACCTGCTCGTGCTGTCGCCAGCACAACATCTTGCCTGCAGGTACCCCTTTTCCTTTGTGGGGAGGGAAAGAAGTGGTTGTAAGAAACACTGCTGTTGCCTTGAGATTGAGAAAGCCTTTTTAACTTATCCGACCTAACGGAGAGCGCTAGAAGTGACCGCAGTCAGGCAAGAGAAAAAGCACCGGCGTGGCAAAACCTGGGGCACCCCTTCCTCTTCGTGACCCTTGCTTCCAGGTGGAGAAAGCCGCTTTACACGGACCACAATTTAGGAGGTGGCGGTTGGTTTTCTTTTCTCCTTGTCGTCACAAATCCTTCCCTTGGAGAGCTTTAGAATGAAGTGGTGACGAGGTAGGTGAGTGGGAGCTGGTAAGGCGTGCAGCTCTGCGAGGGTTAACGAGTTCTGATTCCTAAACAAGTTTAGATGATGTGGGACCATCCTTCACTCCTTTCCAGCCCGTTAGCATTCATTCTTCTTAACCTCAATAAGCTTATTTATTGTTTACTCAGTGGGTCTAATCGAATCCTTTTTGCCGAGTTTCAAGTTGGGATTCTCCTGCCTCGCCTCTGTCCTTCAGGCTGCCAGAGTCACTCATCTGGGTGGAATTCCTGGCGCTTCAGGTGCTCTCCAGCGAGTTGAGTCCAGTACCAGCACATCTGTGTCACTGCCAGCAGCTGGAAAAGCCCTCGTGAAGTCCACATGATTCTGTAAGCAGCATTTTAGGCTTTTCACCCAGGATCTGACACTTAAATCCACACGAATGTAATCGATCTTGCTCTGAAAGCATCCACGGTAAGCTCATTTTGTGGAAAATAGTGGAGAGGAGTGAACGTTTCCGAGTACAGAAAGCAACTGCGAGTGGGCACCGAGGGGAGGAAGGTGACAAGCCGGAGGGATTGCTCCTACTCCATAATGTCGTAGAGGAACCATGTTCAAATTGGATGGCAACTTCTGTTAAAACACAACTTTATTATTTAGTTGAAGATTGTAGAACTTCATTTATTTTTCTTTTTTTAATTGGTTTTGTTTGGGTTTTGTTTTTTTTTTTTATGTAGTTTTGAGGTGTGTATGTGAGTGCAGAGTGTGGTATGAAACCAGAACATTTCACCTGGCACTTCTGTCCCTAGTTAAGCTACAGCTGTGAGGACTCAAAACTGGCTCTAGTATCGGTCTATATCAAAATTCATCCTTAATTACGGGGTTCAAAAATCTTAAGGCAGCTCCCAGGTACTAATCTTAGCACAGTCTCCCTCCTTGGGGGCGACCAGCTCATTTCCACTCGTGAATCGTGGTTAGAGACGACCCAAATCCCACACGTATGGGGGAGAGTCCAGCTGGTCCCCCTTGTTCCTGTCCCGTACGGCTGCAATCCTGCATCTGCTCGCTCCGTTGAGTTCCCAAATGTACGAGACAGGGAGGAGGAATGACTCCCAGAAGGCAAATTTCAAGAGCTGCGCCCCAAAATCTCCCGGTCCTTCCACTCTCTCTGTTTACTGAGCTCGAGTAGCTCTTGCCTTGGGAAATACTGAGCTAGGGGAAGGTGTGACTCGCCCCTGAGGGCGATGAGAGGCCGTGACGGAGGTTTTGTGGTGGGCTGGATGGGGAATTGGAGAAACCAAGAGCCAGGTTTTGAGGGGCGGCGGGGGACAATGGCACTGCAGGCTCCCCCCCTCCCCAGGTACAGAGCAGGCCCAGCGCATTCCTGTTGTACAGCAGAAGCTGAACTTAGTCTCCTTTATTTTTTATTATTATTATTTTAAAATGTGACATTAACGAGACTTTTTTTCTTGTAAATTGTTTTCCCTTTCTGTGTATAAATCCTTCCTGGGACTTTTTTTTTATTGTGGTGTTTTTTGTTTTTTTTTTTACATGTCCATGCTGTGTAATTTTGAGATGTTACTGAAAACTCTGAACATAATAATGTGCATTTTTTTTCCTTTTTTTTTCTTTTTTTTTTT